CACTGTCCGCCTTAGCTCACGGGTCTCTCCATCCACCAAAAGGAGGCGCTGTTGTCTCCTGGTGATCATTTGGGGCGCCTGTGAGTTCGTGGGGCTGGAGCTTTGCAGGCTACCAACCGTTGATTCAAGTCTTGACTGCATCACTTTCTAGTTGTGTGACAACCACCACGCCCGCTGTCTTCACCTCCTCCCCAAGTCTGGTCTCAGAGCCCTTGGGCACTGCACTGGGACCCCACCTGGATAAAGCTGTGGATGGCCGTGCCATCTGAATTGTGAAAGGGGGGTGAACTAGGCCTCAGCGAGAAGGGCCTGTCTTGGTGTGGCCAGCATGGAACTGGAGTGGAACTGAGGAGTGTGTGTGGGCAGAGGTGTGTTTTCTCTTACGGAAGCTAGAGTGGGCTTCTGCCTTTTGCTTAACACCATGAATTCACCCCAACATATCTTTTCAGAGTTGGATCCCATTACTCCCCCCAATCCTTTACTTTGGGGACTGGATTGGCTGTTCCTGCTTCTCCTCCCTCCTGTCTCTCTGCTTTCTCTGCTCTCCACGTGTTCAGAGATTTCGGAGCTGAATCTCCTAGTGTCCACTGTCCTCTAAAGTCTCTCGGATGCAACTCCCTCCCTGAGTGTCCACAGCATCGGCTCTGTCCTTCCTGCGGCCACTGCTCCTGATGTCCTTTATGTTCTAACAACTCCCAACTGGGCCCGGGGCGCCCACGTCTCCTTCATGTCTGTCTCTGGCACGGCAGCTGTTCACTAAGTGAAATGCACGTGACTTTAATAAATTGAGCAATATTCATTGGAAAACACATTTAATTTCAAAGTAAACAAAGATGTTTGTACATTAAAGTATTTAGTGAAACAATTATTATCAGTGTAACAAGCTGAAAAATACAGCAACGTGATACAAGACTGAGGTAACAAAATATTCACCAAAAATCTAAAGAATCCTGGAGGGCTGATGTTCAGTGTTATTGCGGGTGAGACACTTCACGGGAACCAGAGAAAAAGTCCGTATACAACGGCATGCAGGGGGTGCTGGGAGGAGACAGCCCGGCGAGGGCAACAGATTCAACAAGAAACGAATTAAAATGTAGAAACGGATTTTCAACGTACTTGGAAGAATACATAAGAAATTGATACTTAAAATACTCTCTACGCGACGTTTTGAATGCTAAGTGAAAAACCATGCATTTTGGCACGAAATTTACTTAAAGGTTATACCCTACTAATAAATTAATGTCTACAGTCTCGTTACCGAATGGCCACAGTCGCTCAGAAATGGGGAAAGGGGTTGGTGGGGACAGAACAGACAGATGCTCCATGGCGTTGCTGCTGCCGCTGGCAGACTCTCCCTCGTGCAAGTTCTCAGCACTCAAGAGATGCAGCTCTCCCTCATGCTGAACCCGCATTTAACAGGAAATCATAAACAAAAAGCCTCGGAAGTAAATACTGCGGACTTGCAGGCTCTGCTCATGCCACCTCGGGGTCCTCCACGTGCCCAAGCACAGCTCTGCCCGGCCTGCTGTGCGCTGGCCTGACTCTAGGCCTGCGACGCCATCCAGTCCTCATCACCACTGAGCTCCCAGACCACGGGGCTGTGCAGCCTGGTGGCCTCCGAAGCATCTCGGGAGGGATCTGCAGGGGCATGAACTCAGAACTGGGCACAGGCAGGGTCTTGCCAGAGGAGATGCAGCGTGAGAATTATTTGTTCCTTGACTGACCAGCTCCTCGAGGGCAGGGATTGGTCTGTCCTGTTCTCGGCCGTGTATATCCGGGAGGGCCCGACACGTGGGAAGACTCACCGGAGATGCGAAGGAACAAACGAACGGGTGGTTCTGCACAGAGATTCTGTCCTCTTCAAGGGACTCCTGTTTTGTGCACGTGTGTGTTTTCTTTTTTAAACAGGAAATCACCCAACATGTCAGTATGATGTGGGGCTGATGACGGTCACTTAGGAAGTCACCACGAATGAGGGAGGTGGTGTTTTTGGCAGCGTTCACCTGGTTACACACATGAGCGATGCGGTCGGAGCGCTAAACTCCGCCTGTGACCAGGAAGCAGTGCCTGCTCACAGATGGCCTTCCGTTTCCGCGGGCCGTTTTCCACCCGGCCAGCAGCATCCTAGAGATTTGCGTCTCAGGCTTTGGGGGTGGGAGAAAGATGAGCAGAGAAATACTGGCCATCTTGGCAAGAAGGAAATGCTTCATAAATGCAGTTGGCAGCGTGGTGAAGGAGAGACCACGCTCTCTCACTGGGCATGCTCAGAACAATACTCCTCCCGCTGTCCATCAAATCAGTCCTCCAGGAAGTATTGCTGTTGTCACACGCATGCGGCTGACCTCGGGGGCAAACCGTGTTCCACTGAAAAGCACTCCCCGGAAGAGGCAATGACACCGCTTCTTACTACAGTGGGCAGACAGCATTCTACACTTTTCCTTTTGGGGTGGTATGATCTGCTTGTTTATAAAACAGAAACAGCATATGCATGCGAGACATATCATCTGCAATGGCTTCACAAACATTTGTGCATGTGGACAAAGAGCAAACACCAGGGTGAGAACCCACCACAGACACCCCCCCCCCCCTTGAGGCTTTGTGGCTGGCCGCCTCGGGCCTCCTCACCTGGGGCGGGAGGGGCAAAGCGAGGCTGGGAAGAATCTGCACTTCACTCCCAGGGTGGCCCGAGCCCCACTGGGAGAGCCCAGTGCCTCTCAGCTTTCCTCAACCCTCTGGTAGTTCAAGGTTAGGACCAGGTCTACTGGGACGTTGCCAATAAGGTCTAAACAGCTTCTTCAAGTATCCAACCTAAGAAACTTCTGGGAGGGGATGTGGGATCAGTCTCACTAAGTGGAAGACAACACTTTGGAAAGAACTGCTATTTCAAAATAGGCTCGGACAAAAACACGTGTGAAAGAGAATGGTCTGACTTTGTGGAGCCTGAAATTCTGAGGGCTCTGGACTGACGTGTAATATTTCACGTGAGAAAACCCAGGACAACTGGAGAATGGAGAAATACAAGGTCAATAAGCAGCTGATGTTCCAGTCTTAACACCGTCATCCAAACTTAAGACTAAAAAGGCAAAATCAGACTGGATGCAGGTGGGAGCTAACACCGGTCCTGGTGAGAGGTGTTGGAGTGTTTGGTGTTTTCCTGCAGTCTCTGGATCACTACGAATCAGGTGTGTGCCTCAGACCCGAGCCACAGGTGGGCGTGCAGTGCCGACGCCAGGGTGTGGCGGCATCGCCTGGAGGTTCTCCAGCCAGGAAGATGCTCTAGACTTTGCTCCAAAGGAGGGCCAGTGACTGAGAACAGGGAGACCGGACCCCAAAATAACATCCTGACGACAACACCTTCCTTCACCAATTCATTTCAGTTCTCAGAAAAGCTGTCGCCCTTTGCTCACAGTACGGGGGTGGGTGCTGCAGTTGTTTTGAAATTGACCCAGGACAGTTTACTGGTGAAGATGTTTCACAAGCATCTTGCCCAGAAACTGTTAGGAGTGGTCTGATGTCTGATCAGTGAAGAGCTATGAAATCACAACAGCAACAAGGCCTCAGAAATCCAATTTCTTTCAGAAAATCATTCAAGGGTTTCCGTCTCAGATTTAGGACACCCAGGTGAGAGAGGCGGGGGTGGGGGGGGTGGGGTGGGGGGAGGAGAGATACGGTGATAAAGCTATCATAAATAATTAATTTTTATTAGTTATTTTGAATAAAAATGCCTTTGTGCAAAATAAAAGTCACTTAAAACTATGAGAGTGACAGACAGGGACGTTGTTCACGTGAAGAGCTTGTAACTGAGCGGGGAGCGTGGGCCGCGCTGCCCCGGGGCTCTGCTCTCTCGTCACCATGGCCGTCAACAACATGCCCTTGGACGCGGTGATGGAAAACTTGCTGGTGACAGGGTTGGGCGGCAATACTGTGGGCGCTTAAGGCCTCAGTGCCACTCAGCTCCCGGAGTGATCAGGGATCCTCTGGCCCGCCTGGCAGTGGAGGCAGAGGGCGCGGTGGCGGGAGCAGAGGCTCGGGGGGGGGGGGGGGGGGGGAGAGGTCGTGCAGCCGTTCGATGTGGTGCCCGAGCTGCTTCTGAGAAGCTGGGAGAAGTGGCACAATTCCCATTCTGGCACGTGGGGGGGGGGGGGCGGGGGGCGGGGGGTGGAGAAGAGCCTTCAGACCCTGCTGGAGGGGCGGGAGGAAGCCAGCAGCCAGTCCACAGTCCGGCAGCCGGGGTCTGTCTGAGAGGAGCTGACACCACCGAGGCCTGGATGGGACCCGGGCCCAGGAAGCAGCTTCCAGAAGAATAGCACCCATAGGAACAGAAAACAGGACACGGTTTAAGGCATTGTTTGTTTACAGTAAAAGAATGCAGGGGGCCCTTAACACAGGAGGGATCTGCGCTCCCACTCCGACCTTCCTTGGTGGACAAGGCTGTCATGTAAGGTTAAAGCAGGGCCTCGAAGCCAATGAAGTGTGTGATGTCACGCACCTTGTGCCAAAATGCATGTTTCTCAAAGAGTTCACGCTCGCTCGTGTGCACACGTACACAGCACGCACGCACGCACGCACGCGCAGAGGACGCTTCGGGTTGTACAAAATCTGAGGGGACCCTGTGGGCGAGCAACCCCGTGCACTTGGGGTGTAAGAGCCAGTTCCACAGCCTGTGCCTGTTCTCTGGCCCCTCACGCAGTTAACACTGTCCACTCCTTTGTGCAGGAGGAAGCACTGGGCCCACTCGGCTGAACGCTCTGGTCGCAGCAGCAGCTGAGGGACGTCCACGCCCAGAGAGGGAGGACCACGGAGCTGCTGAATGAGGGTCGTGAGAGTCGCTGGGGTTGGCGCCGAGGGCGCCTCTGGGCTGGGAGGCCACAGGCGGCATCGCCTGGAGTCCAGCTGTGAGTCTCCCAGCGCCGGGCCAGCGGCCTGTGCCCGGGACCTGCACTCACCACAGTCCCGCCGGGGCTCCCAGAAGCCTCTGAAGCCACGCCAGGTGCAGAGACTTACTCAAATGACATGAGGTTTGCAGGTACCTGGAAGAGAAAGCTCAGCCATTGTCAAGTTCTCACCTCTCAGATGGGGGCAAGACGCTTCCAAACCTAAGGTGGGACCAGGCCTTGCCCAGCGAGTCTGCGGAGGAGCAGGTCAGTGGGGAGAGGGCACAATAGTGACACTGTGACCACTGCCACTCGTTAAGTGACTGCTGGGTGCCAGGCGCTGCTCAGAGTACTTCATACGCATCGTGTCCTCGAGTCCTCACAATAAGCCATGAGGCAGGCACTGAGAGGATCCCCGTTAGAAAGCTGAGGAAACTGAGGCTGAGAGAGGGGAAGTACACAGCCATAGTGGCAGAGCGAAGGCACCAGAGCCGTGCTCTCAGTCACTCCCCCAGGTCCAAACAAAACCGAGAGGACACAGATCCCACAGGAATGGGGTCCGGGGCGGCAAGATTATCAGGTGGGAGCACACGGAGTAAGTTTGGGGAGATCAGGAACCCTAAGACCTTCCACTAGCCATGTCTCCACGACACGGTCCCAGCTCCCTTTGCTTGGGGACCACGGGTGCCAAGGTCAGAGTGTGGCCCCTCCCCGGGAAGCTGCTCTCATGCCCCGGCCCACAGTGCTGGGGGCAGGAGAGCTGACGAGAAGCAGTCTCATCAAAGACAAATCCCTCTGGCGTCCCGGTGTCAGAGTGATGGCTGGAGAAAGGGTACCTCCTCGCACCAGGAGGCAGGTACAAGGCGGCATGGCAGCATGCCCAAACAGCGGAGAGCAGGAAGTCATTCCTGGGCTCACCCACAGACTGATTTAAACACAGTACGAGCGAATGAATGAAAGCCACACACATCAACACCGATGACCCTGAGGACCTGCTGCCGGAGGAAAGCAGGTCATAGAGGAGAATGCAGTAGGTCCTCGGGTTATGTCAGGGATCTGTTCCTACGGCGCGATGTAATGTGACTTTCGCCGTTAAGTCAGAACCCACTTGCATAAGCACCTACGTCACTCACAAGGAGCACATACACAGCAATAATGAAGCAGAACAGTAAAAAAACAAATGTAAAAGAAAGATAACAATTCCTGACCTTTACTTGTGGCAAATAAATAATAGAAAACATAAAGCACATATGTACATACATCGAAATGACGGAACTTTTTAAAAAAAATAAATAAATGGGAGATGGCGATGTAACCACGAAACGACGTATGTCCGACATAATCCAAGGACTGCCTGTATACAGGTTATGGTTCTATTTATAAAGAAGTTTTTAAAAAGTGTTCCCCAGCCAATACATTAAGGAATCGATACATGTGATAACACTGTACGGGAACAGTAAACAAATCGGGCTGTGAGTTTCAATGTTAGTACAAACGATCGTAAGGAATGGATTCCCCCTGAAGAAGATGGGTCCAGGCCGCTGGGTCTCCCCGGGAACAGAGCAGTCCTGCCCCATCCTTGCGTCTCCTTGTTGCCCCACAGACAAGGACATGGCTTAAAATGACCCTCTGTTGTGGAAGGCTCAGTGTTGCCACGTCTTACTGCTGCTTACAGCAGAGAGCGGGAATATTTGGTTGAAAGGAAATTAGAAAAAGGAAAAAGAGTAGAAAAATAAAAGGTCCTCCTCCGCCAGGTCTACAAATTGGACAGTAATACTGAAAAGTAGCAAAATCTTCCATGCACCCCACACTTGCCACGCATGGAATGCAACCCACTCATCCTTCTGACCAAACACCTGCTCTGCCATGGGTCTGACCCAGTTCCCTGCTCCCTGCTGTGACCCTGCTGCCAGGCTTGGCTGCCCGCCCAGAGAGCGGCCATCGGTGCTCCTGGCCGGTGCCCCACGTGCCTCCACAGGCAGACAGCAAGGCCTGCTGTCTCCACTGCACCCTATCCTGGTGGCCCACCACAGGCAGCCAGTCCCTGTCAGGCCCGGCACCACCCAGCCTCCTGCTCAAGTCACTCTGAGCTAAGGAGGGGTCCCGGCCACACAGGTGTGACCGGGAGGGCAGGACGTTGTTCCTCTCTGAACGTGACCTGAGGTGGCACCAACCTTGTTCAAGCCCTGATGCCTCGATCACTTGGCATTATCTTGAGGTGACTGGGCACCAAAACCCCAAACCCTGGTCTCTCCATCGTGTAGACAGGCAATCGCTTTGTTTAACGCAGCCATTTTCCATCTCCTGGCACACATGAACTAATTACTAAAATTCTGCAGCACACCGAAAATATATTCTGTTTTTTGCTGATCTGACAAAAAAAAAATAGATATCATTTTGATTCATTCACACTGGATAGCTATTGTTTGCTGTTGTCATTTTTATTTTAGCCATCTAAGGGAAAAGAGGTCAGTGCTCCTAACTAAATAGTCAGGCAGTACAAGAATTTTAAAAATTCTTGTGGCACACTGGTTGAAAATTGCTGGTTTAATGTGAAAAAGATAGGTAAGCACTCTAGAAAGCAGAGTTATAGTTGTCCTGTGCATCATTTAAGTATTTTATACGTACAAACGTATAGATAATAAATATGCATGTGTATCTTAACACAAGCGAGACGGTCCTCACTGGAATGCTGGAGCTGTCAGCCGGCCACACCCAGACCTGCCTCCTTCTTCCTAACCGCTGTGGGTGTTGCTCAGGGGACTGGCCAAGGCTGCGAGGCGTCCGCTTTCCTCACCTGCCCAGGACAGCCGCTTCGCGCTCTGAACCGCACTCTATGCCTGTGACACACCCCCTCGGGCAAGATCCTGGCAGGCAGGCAGGTGAATCGACAGACTCGAATGCAATTTACTTTGTGCCTCCCTGTGGCATCTCAAGTAGATCCGTGTATGGGCCTTATCACCTATGATGGGATCAGAGTGACATCTGTGTCCTCACCTATGTTTCAGAGGAAGGTCTGAATAAGACCAAACCAAGCACAGAGCGAGCGATGTCCCTTAGGAGACTGGCTTTGAGGGACCTGTTAGTGTTGGCTACTGTGACCACAGCTGAGTCCCTCCCCTCCCAGTCACACAGGCCTGGTGTGGGGTGAACTCCCCTTCGTAAGGTCCCCTCAGACCTGGGGCGGCTGCCTCCCAGCTGCTCCTACTGGTCCTCAAAGCTGCCAGCATCTCCCACCAGCCCTGGTGCTCTTCCCAAGGCTGAGAGGAACCCAGCTCCCCAGCGCCGCCTCTGGCTGATCCCTGGGGAACTCAGGGGGCTACCAACCCTGGCACCAGCAGCCACACCGCCTGCCCACCGACTCCCAGGGTCAGGAAACTCCGTCTGCCTGTCTGGTGCTGAGGGCTGGGCAGCTAGTCTTCTCACAGGCCAGAGGCCCAGGAGGTGAGGCAGGAGAGCTCGGTGTGGTGAGCACAGACCTTGCTAGGCCCCACGGTTAGTGTCTGCCACTTTCTGAGCCTCAGAGTCCTCTGTGAAATGGAGGTGGTGAGAGGACGGACCGCACAGGGGTGTTGAGGCATGGGCTGATTCTTGCAGGTGAAGCATCTCCAGTAATGCCCGGTCCTGGGGTGTGTGTGTGTGTGTGGCGGGGGAGCCCAGCCTTGAGCCAGGCCCAGCAGACCGAGCCCCTTCAGCAGCAGCCACGGTGGCTCTCAGTGCACTAGCTGTTGTTGTTATTATTGCTCCTAAGGACTGTGGTGGCCAGGAAGCCAGTTTGACGTATCCCCGTGAATCAACCTTTGGGAGATGATCTCAGTAGATGCTTCAGCCTAAACCTGGGGAGATACAGCATCTGCCTCCTACTAAGCTGCCCCTGATGGAGATTTCTGTGTGTTTCCTTCGGTGGGCAAGACACAGGGCCTAGACTCAAAGAGAAGGAGGGGCCCTGTTTTCTATGGACCATGACCCCCCAAGGGCGGGAGAGGGCATTTCGGGTGCCGGCAGGGTTTGGTGACTTACCTGAGGCCTGTTGCTTTTACATGCATCGTCCAAATGCTTGTGCCACAGTATTGCATGGAACCGGGAGCCAGTCTGAAACTTGTAAACATTGCCTGGCGGGTGGGGAAACCGCCGTTAGGAAGAGGGTGGACATGGGTAACTAAACTGAGGAGGGTCAGGAGCAGCCCAAGGCAAGCCCGGGGCCTTGGGTCAGGATACTGCCAATCTCATGGCACAGGGGTGTCCCTGAAATCTCCAGACCCTGCCTGCCCACATGGCTGCTGCCTCACCAGCATCCTATTATCTATTCCAAGAGCCTGCGGCTGCAGCTCCAGGGGTGATGGCTAAAGGGTTCCTGCACCCACATGCCATGCGCACTGCGCAGGGGACGCAGGGGACTAGTGAGGGGACCCTGCGAACACCAGCACCTGCAGCGGAGGGGAAGCTGCAGCCTCAGAAGTGCCTACATTGAGCAGGAGAGCTGGGGCAGGCGGGGCTGCGGGCGCGGCTCAGCGCCTACCTTTGTCAGGGTTGTTCAGCTGGAAGATGTCCGGGTGCTCGGGGTCATCGGGCAGCTGCACCATCCAGCCCACGATGGAGACCTTCTTGCCAGGCGTGGATTTGTACTGAAGAACGAGGCACAGCCAGGAGTCAACGCTCCCTCCCCCGGAGGGCTGAGCAGGCCACGCCACGGCTCCTTCCCACCCCGCCCACCCGCTCCCGGCCGTTCACACAGGATGAAGGCCCAGCCCGGACAGGCCTGTCCCGGGACTTACGTGTTTTCTGTCTGTGCCCCGCAAGGACTTGGCTCCGTAGAACAGGAGGGTGGATCCTGAGAGGATGACCCAGTACCTGGTCCAGGATGACAGCTGCACAGGAAGGAGGCCGCGTGACAACCCGCAAGTGGTGGGGCGGAACCGGGGCCTGATCACACACCCACCACAGGGTGGAAGGGGCCCCTCCTAACCCGTCACTGGCCCCGCCCCCTAATGCCACCTCCCCCAGGGACCTGGAGGAGCCTGTCCTCCTCCTGCCTCTATGCCCCTCAGCCTGCGCCCACCTCCCTCGGCGCCTCCTTTCCGCCTGGTCTAGGGCAGTGCCCAGGCACAATTCCTAGGCCCACGAACGTCCTGGGAAAAACGTTTTAAAACCACAGTCACGGTAAACCACAGGCTAGAAAGACCACAATGTCTGCGATGGGGTGATGGTGGTGGAGGGGGGGTGGGGAGGCTCGGCGGTGACTGGGTGGCAGTGCTTTTGAAGAATTGGAGACGGGAAGTGGGAAACCCATTGTCGGCTCTGCAGTCGGAGCCGCGCTTCTCCAGGGAAGGCCGGCCTGGCGCTCAGGCCCGCCCTTGGGTTGGGGGTGGTGGTGGGGGATCAGCGAGGTGGGCCCCAGGTTCTGCAAAAGCAAAGCGAATGCCCATCTGGGGAGCGATGGCTCTGCATCTCAGCCTGCCCGACCTGAGGACGCCCACGGGTGTCAGTAACACACGTGCGTATGTATGGCCAACACTCACCTTTACTGGGTGTAAGAAACTCCATCGTCTTCCATTCTATTCCCCTATAAATAACGGGTCACGACCTCCTGAACTGATTTCATCACTCCCTGTCAGCACCCCACCCACCTCACCCATCGCAGATACGGTCCTTCTAGGCTGTGGTTTGCCATGTTTGTGGTCTGACCCTGCCTTTAAGATGCTTCCTTGCAAGCCTCAGAGTGGCTACGGCCGGCACTCTGCACAACAGACCGGAGTAGGACCCATGTCACGGATGCTTTGTGACACTTGGCTCCAAGGACAGGGTGGGGCCAGCTGGGGTGAAGACTCCATCTCACTCAGGAATGCCTGTGGCACTGTTTAGGACGCAGGCACTATTTCATCACAATCCGCAGATTTAAGAATAGCTCCCACCCGCAGTGGCATGCCCAGGGGGACCAGTTGGCGGGTCTCCGGAGCCGGGCCCCTCCCTGAGCCACACGCCGCCTCGGACCAAGGTGTCGGACTCACCGTGGGCTTCCGTCCTTCCTTGAGCAGAGTCTTCCTTCTCAAAGGCCCCTCCATGGTGGGCACGGCCGGCGAGCTCCCCAGCGCACAGATGCAGGGGCCGGTGGGGCTGGGGGAGGCCATGAGTCAGACAGGTCTGAGGAGCTGAGGTCAGACACCCTCTCCCCACCGGGGCCCACGAGGCTGCCCAGACAGAGGACTTAGGGGCTGTGAGGTGCCTCTTACAGCGCTGGGCAAGGCCACAGGGAGCAGGAGGGAAGGCGGCTCTGGGCTCCCACATCCAGGAACTCACCTCCCGCATCTACCTGAGTGCTGCAGAGCACCCCATCCTGACCCGGGCCCCTTGAGGCCCCTGCACCCCATCCTGACCCGGGTTCCTCGCAGCCCCTGTACCCCATCCTGACCCGGGCCCCTCGCAGCCCCTCACAGCCCCTGCACCCCATCCTGACCCGGGCCCCTGCACCCCATCCTGATCTGGGCCTCTCATGGCCCCTGCACCCCATCCCCTGCTTCCTCTCCACTTGGGAAACTTGGGGATCGCACAGCCCCTCCTTTTTGTGTTGGCAGAAGTCTGGAAGAGCATGGAGGAAGTACGAGAGGTGGGGTGAAGTGAGAAGGGGCACAGGGGACTCCCACACTGCCAAGCCTTCCATCTTTCTCAGGGTTCCTCTCTCACCCTTTGCCATGGGGATTCAGGCGCCACCTATGGGTGAAGGCATCCAAGTGCAGCACCAGCCCAGACCTCTGCTCAGCCCAATCTTAGACAGGGCTTCTGCTCGCTGTTCCCCACCCCTCCTCCTCCAGCCCCCTCCCTCAGCCCGCACCTTCCCCCAGGGAACACCACCCACCCAGCTGAGCCTGTACCTAGGGGTTTTCTTCTCTCACCTTCCACCCCTGCAACGCCTGCCTGTCAGCCTCAGCCATCCCACCCCCCAGCTGAGCACTCAACCCTGACCTCACAGCATCAACTCCTGCCTTCCTCCTGGGTACTCCACACACGGCCAGGATGGCCTGGTCATGCCTCCTCCCCTCCCTTTCCTGCCCACACACACTGTCTCCATTGCCTTTGGAGCACCATCCTCCCCTCCTATCCTCTCCCCATCGGCTGTGGCTCCGGCCCTTTCCAGCCTCATCTTCTGCGCTCCTCCCCTGCATTTCCTTGGACCCTGACTTCCCTTTGCATAGAATCTCCCGCTCTTCCTGCCTCAGGCCCACGGACAGCCCCTTTGCCTGGGGCACCCTTATAGCCCTCTGCCTCCCTCCCTATTTCATCAGGCTAATTCCTTCCTCTCTTCCCGTCTTTTCTCCAGGGAGTCTTCCCTGCTCTCCCCTCTCAGAGCACCCGCTTCTCTGGGACCCGGGTGCCTGGGATTTTCTGTCCGTTTTGGTCTCTTCCATAGCAGCCTCGAGGGCTGAGGCGGTGGCCGTGTCCATCCCGTGCACAGCCTCTAGCACAGAGCGTGGTACCCCGCACACGCACCCCGCACACGCCACCCAGCACGCACCCTATGCCTCTGTCGTATGGATGGACACAAGAATAAATGGGTACCTGTAGACGCAGCTCCGCGTCCTGGGAGAATTCCGGATTGGAACCCTCCAGTTGGGCCCCAGCGTGGCATAAAGACGTCCCCTGCTTCGGAGGAAAAGGCCGAGTGTTAGCCACAAGCTGGGAGGCAGGTGCTCTGACAGGGGAGGGCCTCTCTGTGGGAGTCCGCTCAGGAAGCTGTGACCCCAGCTCTCCCCCTCGGCCACGCTTCCAGCACCCTGGGCCTCGGAGCTGCCAGTCAGAGGACAGACGCCCGGGTCCAGGTAACTATTTCCTGGGAGGTAGCAGTGCGCGAGCGGCCAGGACACAATATAGAAAACGATGGGTCTGCTGTCATTTCTGAAAAGCTCGGGCACCCAGAAACGGGGTGTCACCCCATGTCACCCTGTGAGTGAGCTGCTCCCCCAGCCACACGGCGCTCCGTGAGCGGGCAGGGCTGAGTGAGCTTCGCCAGCCCTGTGCACAGGGAGGCTCCTCGCTCCGTCCGAGTTCCCGCTGAGCCGAGGCTGGCCCCTCCCTTCTCTGAACTGGAAGCTGGCCCCTCTCTCACCCTTTCTTCTCAGGGTCTCCTTTCCCCAGCGCCCCAGCAAAATGTGCAACCACGGGGACGCTAGGAGCTCCCAGCCTGGCGATGCGGTGGGTGCTGCCACCTCGCCATCATTCCGTCCCCTGTTCTGAGACAGTCCGTGGCTGCATGCTTAGCACACGCGTGGCAGGACTGACGTGCTGATGGAGAGCTTTCAGTCAGCACCTTCCAGCAGTCCAGCCTTTCGAGCAGGCTTCCCGTGCGCTTCCTACGGGGGTGCGGGGCCCCCAAATCCCCAGGGCTGGGTGGGGAGCACGGAGGCACCAGGCCATGCACTCATTCTCTCCGGAGCTTGGTGAGCACACCATGAGCCTCCCAGAATGGGGAAACTGAGGCTGGGTGATGTGAGGGCACTTGACAGGGCCGTGAGCCTAGCTCACCAGGATCTGGACCAGGTCTGTCTGACTCTGTAGTCTCAGGCTGGGCAGAGGCCGGCTGTCACATGGGTGGAGTCTGCCATGGGACCGGGCCCAGGTCTGGAGGCAGCACCATGCGGGCAGCTCCCTGCACGCTTCCCTGGGAGGCCCCAGTTCTTGAGTTTCTGTGCAGCGCACGCTGAATGGGCTTTGTCGGAATGTCTCTGATGGACATGGGGGCCCCAGTCCAGAACCACAGCTGCCTTTCCTGGCTGGGAACACGTGGCTGGACAGAATGCACCCCAGGAGGGCCACTTTCCTGCCCCCCCACAATGATGGGTCTTGGGGGTGGCAGGGAGGAGGGCTGCAGGAGACAGTCTGATCTGGGAACCCAGTAGAACATCTGTCCCAAAGGATGTGCAAGCTGGTGACAAGGATGGCGATAGGATGATGAGACGATGGGACGATGGGAGGGGGGGGTTGGGGGTGATGGTGGGCACGATGGTGGACGGTGGGGTGATGAGTGATGGTGAGGAAGAGATGGTGGTGCCAGGTAATGTGCTCAGCATATTCATTCACTATTTTGTTTAATCACACAACGCTGGGAGGCAGGCATATCCTCTTGCCCACCTTTTAGATAAGCAATCTGAGGCTCGGACGGGTGCCACTTGCCCAAGGTCACGGCACTAGGAAGGAAGAGTGGGCGGTGCTGTTGAGAGGACGCAGCCGGGTCCTGCTTGGGCCAATGGCACCATGAGAAGTCAAGCTGGCAGGACAGCCTGCAGGACACTCCCCCTGGACAGTGTTCCAGGTGCCACAGTGGCTAACAGGTAGGTACCTTGGGGCTGAATTTCATAATTTAACCCGAGTCCCTGTTACTGATCCGGTAGGTTGGGGGCAGGGAGGCGTCTTGGATAATAATCACCTTGAGGTCTCAGTGGTCTTGCCTTAGTGGGAATAGGCCCCCCATGCTTTTATCTCAAGTGCACGGAGCGCCTGATGGGAGAACACCTGTGGAGGGCCCACCTGCACCAGCAAACCCTGGATGGGCACTGGACCCTGGCCACTTGATGATTCACCCTCAGCTGCAGGCAGGGAGCCGCTGCCCGAGCTCTGCGGGCCCTGGACTTTTCCTCAGCTGAACTTGTTACAGCACTTTTACTGCCCGCGAGTCGCTCTCCCTCCTCCGGGCAATGTCCCTGATCCGCTGACTGGGTCCCTAGGAGCCTCATTTGCACTTAAGTTTAGCTGAGTGGATAGGACTCCCGACCAGAGCAAGTCAATATGACATTCTCTCCTGGCAATTGGGAACCGGATGCGAGACTGAAAGCCGGGCTCTGTGCTGGGGTGAAGCTGTGACACGTACACCCTCCCCTTTATGAGCTGACAGGTCTAGAAGTCAGTGCTGCAGAGGGGGGGGGGGGGGGAGCAGAGCGGATATCCACAGAGAAGGGTCCACACGAGGCCCACATCCTAGAACCTGCCTCTGGGGGCGGTGGGCATTGGACAGACAGGTGGCAGGCTTCTCGGTACTTAGGGAGCTGCAGCAGCTCATGGGTAGGGCCAGCCCTTGTCAGCTGGAGCCCAAGGGCAGGGTCAAGAGAAAGGCCCGGCTACCACTGCCCACTGTTCCCTCTCTCGGTGCCTAAACTCCTGGGCGGAGCCTCGGTTGTCAGACTTCAGTGTCTGCTGCTGAGAACAAGGCAACAGACGGCATCTTTGAGGGGAACCAATGTCAGAAGCTCAGCCCATCATCCAACTGGGCTGCCACCCAAGGCAGAGAAGCCGAACGGAGGACAAGGGCGGGAAGGGCCTGCGGATACTGGACTGAAGGGTGACAGGTGAGGGACACGGCCTGGGATTCCTGGCCCTCAGCCTCTGTGAGGATCACCCTGAAAACAGCCGCTCTCGTGGTTGCACTTCAGTTGAAATGGACCCTCACCTCCAAAATGGCCTCCAGAGCTTCACCTCCCTCTCCTAATCACTGCCGAGTTTGGGGCTCAAGAGGCACCTTGCACCCTGGCACACCGGGGCCTCTGCCAGAGTCCTCTGGTCTTCTCAAGGAAGGAAAAGTGTGTCTTTAAAAAACAGATTTGAGGGGATCGGGCTTGGGGCTCTGCTGCTACCACTCCTGGGGGTCTCCCTAAGGGGCTGGGAGATCGCACCTGCTAAGAACAAGCAAACCTCACAAAGTACAGAGACTGCAACACCAGCCTCCTCAACACCCTCGCACCCATGCGTCTGACTGCTGGCAGCCCTTTCTTAAAGGGCTCTTCCCCTGGTCAGTGACTCCTGGAGGCCAGCCAGGGCTGAGGACACTTCCTCCCCCATCGTCCATCCACTCCGTGATGACGGAGCGGCCATCTGGGAATTTTCTCTTCACCCCAACCAGCTTTAGACTCCCGATGACGTGCTTGCTGGCAAGAGGTACCTACTGAGTGAAATTCATAAACATCCCAAAATAAGTTTCCCCCATGGAGCACTTCCATTTATGTGCTGAGTACTCCTGTGGGCACCCTCCCTGCAGAGCTGAGGGACCTGAGGCTCAGAGGTTGAGGGACAGGCCCTAGGTGGCTGAAGCAGCAGGCAGGCCTGACCATAGGCCCCTCTGAACTGAGGCAGCGTCCAGACAGACGGCGAGGTCTCACTGAGGTACGTAGAACTTAGGAGACCAGGTACCTCCTGGCACCTGCTCTCCGGCGATGACTCTTAGAGAACACCACGCACGCCTGGGCCACCTCTCCCATCCTGGCACACTGCTCAGGCCCGGCGGTCTCCTCAGGTCCACGTGGTCCTTCACCAAATGTCCCTGGGCTGCTGCTTAACCCTCACAAAGAAGCACCTGCTGCTTATACTGAGGCCTGACTGGAGCATTCCCTCCTCCTTCAGTTTCTGAGGAGCCCAGGTTTGCTGAGTCAGCCTGGTGCCACGCCCATAGCCCGACTTCCACGGAGTCCATGGGACAATGGAAAGGCAGCCTCCCTCCCCTCCTGAGAGCATGACCCTCAGGGGGGGTCTGACAGGGAGCAGCTGCTTAACAAATGGGTATTAAATAAATGAATGAGTGAACGAATGAGGGAAGGAAGGAAGGAAGGAAAGAAGGAAGGGAGGGAGGGAGGGAGGGAGGGAGGGAGGAAGGAAGGAAGGAAGGAAGGAAGGAAGGAAGGAAAGAAGAAGGAAGGAAGGAAGGGAGGGAGGGAGGGAGGGAGGGAGGAAGGAAGGAAGGAAGGAAGGAAGGAAGGAAGGAAGGAAGGAAGGAAGGGGCCAATGGTTAGGTCCAGGTCTGGATGATGATCAGGATCTTGGCACCATGCCCATTTCCCACTCAATGTCCCCTCATTGCCTGTGGCCTGGGGAGATTCGGGCGTGCCCAGCAGACCTGCAGTCCGCCCTGGTTCCCATCACTGCTGGGGGCCCAGAGCCAGGGCAGTGGCCCGTTGGCTGAGAGAATGAGAGTGGAGCAACCCCCTCCAGGAGCCCCAGAGCAGCGACAGAGGGAAGGCCTTGCTGCCCCCCACTTCCTGCCCTCCATCAGGGGTTCACAAGGACAGACAGACTGACCGACATGGGGCCAGTGCCTGGAGCTGTCTCATGGCCTTGGACGAGGCCTGAAGGGTGGTGGAGAGGTGGGCTCAGTGGTCAGGAAGACGTGGAGTGTGAGGACGCGGGGTCACTTTACCTCTCTGAGCCCCGCTGTCCATGTGCATAAGTGGGGGCCCTGGATAACCCTGTGTGGCAGTGTATGAAGATTTGGTGAGACCAGAACAGTGCCTGGCACACAGCGACTGCTCCACAAAGATCACTCATCACCTCACACCCTCTGTCTGCCCTGTGAGGACCAGCTGGGCGGGACCCGCCTCCTCTCTGGCCATTTTCTGATTATGGGCACTGAGGAGCCAGGAGGCTCAGCACCAGAGGGTGTGTGTGTGTGTGTGTGCACGCGCGCGTGTGTGAGGCGTGTATCTGTGTGAGGTATGCATGTGCATGCATGAGTGTGAATGTACGTGTGTGGGTATGTGCATCCACATGTGTAAGAGCATTCCCATTCTCTTACACATTCTCAGAGTGTGTGTGAGAGTGCATAACTGTGAGGGTGTGCCTGTGTGTGTGGGCCACTGAAGGATGGTGGGAGCCCGCTTCTCGTAATCTTCCTGTCACTGGGTTTCTCCCTGCCTCCCTTACAGCCACTACGATGCCCTTCACTTTGCGGCCCTACGGCTGGGGAGCTCCCCAGTCAGAGCCCCGTCTTCCCAGGGCCCATGTGTGCCGGCACAGAGAAAGCACACTGCGTGGAGCAGGTGCTGAGGGTGAATTCCTGAGCTGAAGCTGAACCCTGAGCTGAGGGATCAGCCTAGGTGGTTGTCAGCCTAGGGCCTGAGGTCATGTGTGTGCAACGCTCTCAGACCCCACCAGGCGGAGCCACATGCCCGCCTGCAGGCTGGGCCCATTCTCAGACTTCTGACTACAAGAGCCCGCATTTCAGACCAGTCTCCCCAGTAGCTCGGCCTGAAAGAGAGGCGCTGGCCTTGACCCTGGGCTGGCACAGAACCAAGTGATGAGGGGCAGCTCAGAACACGGGGCTGGTCTCCTCCCTCCGTGGGTCCTGCCCCCGGGCTGAGCTGTCCTGAGGAGCCACAGAGCCGCCTCCCGGGTGGGCCCATGGGGTGAGGTTGGGGTGGGTCCCTGCCTGGAGCTGTCTCCAGCTCCCTGGCCCCGGGCACCCCCTGGGAGGGAGGCCACGCTGAGGCCACACTCACCTTTCCAGCCCTGAAGACACTTCTTCACTAAACTCTGAGCTCTCACTACTGCCTGGAAAGGAACACAGATCAGTGAGCAAGGCGGCCTCCCTGAGAGGAGCCATCTGGAGGGGCCTCTTCTCCTGGCTCCCTGGGCCCAGGCCCCCGAGGAGAAGTGCCAGAGCGATGGCCTCCTGACCCTGGGCCGTTCACTGGGCTCCTGCTGCCTCTATTTCTGCCTCTCCCCGGGGAGGGTGCAAAGCACCACCTGTCCCACTGTTCCCCGGGGGGGGGGGGGGGGGGTGTATCTCTGCTCCCTTCCCACGGTCCCGGGAGACGGCACTGTCTACCCCAGGACATGGGAGTCTGGGCCCTTGGCCTCTGCTGGGCCTGGCCTGCTCCCCCCCCCCCCCACTGCCTCCCTCTGGCCTAAGGAAAACCGGGGCTAGAACAGGTCTCACCCGGTGAGGACAGAGGCCAAATAGCACTTCCTCTTCGAGGGTCAGGGCTTGACTGGACACTGTTCAGAGCTGCTGCCCAGCACCAGAAGCCTTGATGGTCCCTTAGACCTCTGGCCAGCACACGGACACACACACAGACACACATATAGGGCTTAGGAGCCACCCCCTCCTAACCCTGTCTGCTTCTCAGCGGCTCTCCAGGCTACCTCCAGCACAAGGACACATTTTCTCCTGTCACTTCACTAATGCCACACGCCTTTGTACTGACCCTCAGACCCTGAGGTGCCCCGGGTCAGGGATCTGTGCCTGGGCTACCAGCTGGCACCGAGGCTGGGCAGTGGGAAAGGGGAAGAAGGGAGTCCCAGGCCCGCTGGGAGTTCAAGGACAGAGTGGACCTGTTCAGCTCCCAATGGTACATGCATATGGCCACCTGCTCCGGGCTCTCAACTCCAGACAGGAAAAAACCCGTTTCTGAACACAGGAGCTGAGGGCCACAGCTCTGGTGAGGTGGCACTGAGTCTGACTCAGCTTTCTGTCCAGGAAGAGCAGGGCCTGGGCCCAGGCTCAGCTCATGCCACCCTTGGCTCCTGCCCTTGCCCCATTCCGGCCTCAGCAGCACAGTGCCTTCTGCTGACTGGTACTCCCAGCTGGTTCAAAACCTACCCAGGATGCCAAGAAGAGGGTCCCATGGCCACGTCCTGAGGGAACTGTGACTCTGTGCCCTGGTGACCGCAATGCCCCAGGACCGCAGAGTCTGAGAGGAGACCTGCTCACCTCTGAGCCAGCCTTTCCCCACATGTTGCCCGGCTCCTCTCCCGGGAGTACCCTCTGAACACACCGTGCACACTCCTGACTCGGTCCCAACAGGATGGCTCCTCCAAGGTGGAGGTGGACACGGGCCTGGCCTGGCACGGGTCTTCTGTCCTGGGAGACGGCTGTACCCGGAGAGACACTGCCTCAGACAGGGGCCGCATTTCACAGGGCGTGGGACATTGTTCCTGTCCCCACACACCCTCTCCGCGTTCATGGGCCCTCCACTCTGCAGGCCTCACCGGATCAAACCCCTACCTGGCAACTGTCTAAACCACCATCAGCACCAGGGGGGCTCCCTGTTAAGGAAAGCAGACGGACACAAAACCACAGAAGCACAAGTACGCTGAAAGGGCACGGCCAGCAGACAGGACACGTGTCGAATGGCAGTAAGGACGGGTGACTGGGCACCGAGGGAGGACTCCGGCCTCGCCCCTCCCGGCCTCAGCAGTGCAGTGCCTTCTGCTGACAGGAGCATGTGTCCGGCTGAAGCTCAGGCGTGCCATCGCACCCTTGAGGAGCGCCTTCTTGGCCTCCATGACTAACTCCGGAGGGAAGACAAGGACGCGGGGTGGCCCTCCGAGCTGTCCTGGGCAGCCTCCCCATTTTGCCCCGGGGGCTGGGGCCTGTGGCTCTCCCGGGACACAGCCCTGCAGGGCAGCGGCCAGGCTCTGCCAGCTGCAGCCAGGGACGGCGGATCTCGGGTGTATGTCTGGCTGCTTCTTCCATCTGTCTGTGCTCAAGACCACCGGCAGGATGAGGACAAAGCCAGGCATTTTGTGACACCCAGACGCCAGGAAGCAGAGCCCCAGGCAGGGTGACTCCTGAGGGAGCCCTCTCTGCGGGTGGGGCCGCCGGGCGCGGCACAGTGACAGACAGACACGAGCACACGCCGGCTGTGCCACGCTGCTGTGCGCAGCCGGACGCTTACCTAGCGAGAGTCCATTGGTGACGGCGGAGGAGGAGGTGAGGGCGGGGCCCCTGCGAGGGCTGCGGGACTCTAGGACACTGTCGTCCAGCAGGTGCCTCGCTCTCTCCGATGGGAATGTCGCACTTTTACTCTCAACTACACTCAACTGACACATCATACTGGAAACGGAAAGGAAGAGAGAGGCAGAGCTCCTTACCTACAGTCACAGGGTTCCACCTGCAGGCCAAGACCTCCACCCAGAACCAGGAGCACGTCCAGGCTCCGCCCTATCTCACGGCGTGACCTTGGGCAAGTCCCATCCTTTGTCAGGGCCTCAGTTTCCCCAACTGTCCAGTGGGGGCTAACTGTTCTTGCCCTTCCTAGCTCCCAGGATGATTATGAGGTTGAGTGAGTGGGTGGTACTTGTGAGCGATGGGGCGCGCAGGGGAAGGGGGATGTGACTGCGGTCCATGCCTCCTTCTGGAGTCGCACACGCTTGGTCCAAGTCCTTGCTCCCACCTTTCAATTGGCAGGTACTGCGCCCCATTGGACCTCACTGGGCTCAGGCATGTAACGGCACCGACCTCTCGGGCCTGCGGGCTCGGTGAGATAACACGGGGCAGGACAGAGCAGAGAAAGAGCAACCCCTTTCTCCTCCAGCCCAGGAGCGACTCCGGGGCCAGCCTGGCTGGCTGAGGCTTGTGTCTTGGTGGAAGGAAGGAAGGAAGGAAGGAAGGAAGGAAGGAAGGAAGGAAGGAAGGAAGGGAGGGACAGGTAGGAACAGAGGGAGGGAGGGACCCAGCTGTAAGGAGCCTGTGCCCAGTTCCTAGGAACATGGGCACTGCTGTCTTGGTCATGCTAAGGACCACCCATGTCTCCCAGCTGTCAGCCCCACAGGCTGGGGAACCGGGGCAGATGCCCTGAGCTGCAGACTCACTCCAGCAATGGGCAAGCAAAGACTCTGAGCCCTGAGACTGGCAGGCACAGTGCCCACTGGATCTGGGTTTCCTCAGGGAGGCACTAACTGAGGAGGGAATCCCACACTGCTCCCTGCCCTTGCCTGCATGCTTCCTCCACCGGCTACTGAGTAGTGGTACCTGTCGCCAGGACCACCGTGCCAGTCTGAGGAGAGGGCACCAGACAGGGATACCAACAGCACCACCAGCCCTCCCAGACGGGGTGGGGAAGCTCCAGCGGGCAAGCACCCCTTAGCCCCCTCCCCCCACGCTCAGCCCGCCGAGAGCCCGAGGGGGGCTCGCTCAGGTACCCACTTGTTGCCCAGGCTGTGGCTCTTCCTGTGTCTTGGGACCGGGGGTGTGGGGAGGCTGCCAGCCACAGATGTGTCAGGACAGGTAGGCCGCCGGCTGAACCTTGCAGAGCTGGAGCTGGCGGAGGGGCCTGTGAACAGAGCAGACGGGGGCTATGGAGGCTCGGGGGTGGGGCCTGGGTTGTGGGTAAGGCACTGGGCCAGCTGTCACAGGCGGAGCAGGCCCAGCAGGCCCCGTGGCTCCCACATTCGACACCAACCCCTCACGCCCAGCATAACTAACTTCCGGGGTGCCGGCAGTCAGGATGGCCAGGGGCCTGCATGTGCCTGGGCGTGACTTATCCAAGGCATCCAGCAGGTGGCAGAGACTTCACAGCCTGTCTGTGAGTGAGTCCGGGCTGGTGCCCACCCTGTGCCCTTCTCCAGACACTTTGACTTTTCCGCCCACACATTCCGCAGGAGGGACAGAAGGGACGGAGCGTAGGAGGGCGGCAGAGGGAGGACTCACTGAGTGAGAGCACAGCTAGCGAGGCAGGGCTCTGCCCAGGCCTGCCAGGTACTGCCTGGGTGGCCTTGGACGGGTTATTAACTTACTCCCTTGAGCCCCTGTTTCCTCATCTGAAAAATGGGAATAACTCCTCGCAGGTGGCTGGGAGCAGTTTCAGCCAGCCTCACGCTTGTTTTATATAATTAGTGCCCTGTTCTCCTCAGCCCCGGTCCCAGGAACAACAGGGGTCCTCAAGCCAGGAGGCTGGGCCACAAACGCACTGAGCAGCCCGTGCAGAAGGAGGAGGGCCTGCATGCTGGCCAGGGCACAGACACTAAACGGAGGGGCCTGCTCTTCATCTTACCGCTGTGCTCGTGCTCTGAAAGGAAGTGACCCCAGGTGCTAAGCCTTAGCTACCCAGGACAGACAGGAAGTGGGCCAGAATCCTGCAGAGCACACCAAAATGCAAACCCAGGCAGCCGTGTGGGAGCCTGGGAGGCCTGTCCGTCCAGGGCCCCACAGCCTCCCACAGGCTGCTGTCATCACAGTGAGCTCCAGTGTGTGTGGCTCATCACTTTTTAACGTCCCAGACACCACCTCGGATGGCCTAGCTCCCTCTGGCACTTGGGAAGGTTCACGAGGCAGCTCGCAGCTCTTCGTGCTCGGGGTTCCTGCTGTCTCACCCTGCTTGCCCCTCCGCACCCCACTCTGCACACCCCAATCTTCATTGCCCCAGGCCCCCCACAATCCCTTTACGAGGCCGTGGCCCACTTTCTCCACGGCTCCCCTCTACAACTATCCCCAAATGCCACCTCTCTCTAGGCCCCTGCACAACTCAGAGACCCTCACCTCACTTCAAACGACGGCTCTCTGCCTCAGGAGAACGCCGTGGTGGCCAGCCTCCGTCTCTCACGCCAGCCCGCATGGCCACGTGCGCCTCCACCCGCAGCAGCCTTCCTGTCGGCCTGGGGAAGGGGCCTCCTCCAAGGCCAATCTCTCCTCTCCAGGCCTGTTGCCTCTGAGAACTGACGCCATCATTCCCCTCCCCTCTGGCCCCTTCCTCCAGCCCATAAACACTCTAGTCTCTCGTTTTCTGTAAAATAAGGCCCCCCTGACCCCAGGGCAGTCTCCCTGTCAGTCACGTGTCCTCAGACAGAAGTCTGTCCTCCACACACTGGACGGGGCCACGCACATACAGTCCATCACTGGCAGAAACGTCGTTACATGGCACACACTGTAAGGAGCTCAGAGCGGCACGGCTTGGACCTCACCACCCCCGGTGAAGGACCCACCAGGGTCCGTGAAGGCCTTGCGGAGTGTGGGGGCACTGAAATGGCACCTATGGCAACACAGGTGCGTGCGTGCCCTTTCCTGGCGAGGGTCCCACTGCCGCTCAGCTTCTCTGAGGCTAGAATCCTTAGTCAGGTTCTGTCCCCCCCGGTTCTGATTTCATTGCTCATCGTTCTCTCGGTGACTCTAGGACACCCGGTGACCGCAGTGTATACCCGGTGACCCCAGTGTACACCGGGTCACCCTCGTGTACACCCCCGTGACCCCAGGGTACACCCAGGCAAAGAACTTCTGCTCAAAGAGCTGGAGTGCCCGCGAGCTCTGCCCTGGAGGAAGTCTCGTGCCGCTGCCCAGAGAGGGGAGGACGGAAGCCGCCCTGCTTTGTTTTTGTTTTGCACATGTTGCTCAATAAATGAGTCTGTGCGGAGGGTGAAATCCGCCTTGTTTATCAGCAGGATTACGGTCTCTGCCTGAGTCACTCTGGCTCCCACCCTGGCTTCAGAAAATATTTTGTAAAGGTCAGGTCGCCGGCTCCTCCCCCGGGGTCTGAACTGGAACTGGACTCCCTGGTGTGTCGCAGCAATAAAAACGGTGATAATTACGGGTGGACATCCCGTGCCTGGCACCGTACTGTGCGCCCGGGCTGCAATCCAGGAGGTGGGTGCTTAGTAGGGACGTCGTTACATGGCACACACAGGCAGGAAAGCCGGGCTTACATATCCACGACAGGCAGGACTTGAGCCCAGGGCTACAGTGTGGGCGGAGGAGCTCTGCAGTTCAAAGGTCAGGCATTAGCCAAAGCTGGAACGGTGGCGTGTTTGAGGTGATCTGGTAACTTCCTCCAGGAAACCGGTGACTATTTCCAGCTGCTATTTTTGAGAACGGTCGGTGAAGGAGGACTAACATTGTTATGCACCAATGGGTGCCAGGCTTGTCTAAACACTCCCTCATCCTATGTCATGGAGCACTGTCAGTGGCTGCTTTGACCAGCGCTGTTTTACAAGGGATGCTCGGAGCACAGCCGGTCACGCAGGGAAGGGGTGCTGGTGTGTTCTTCTTCCCAGTTGTGGGTGCAGCGAGAGCCGGACACTAAGGCTCCTCTGGTCACTTCCTGGGCCTCCTGCTCACTCCTGATGGGCGCCCTTCCCACCTGTGTCCCTGCTCCTGCTCTGACCCCCACCTCGGGCTCCCAAGCCTCCAATTAGCTCTCAGTTTCCTCTGGTCAGCTACCGACGCTCCCTCCGGGGGCATGCGGGACGAGCCTGGGGCCGCCCCTTCATCGTGCTGCTTCGGAAGGCCGTGGAGGCATCTGGCCTGAGATGCCCCTGGACACAGCTGGGGGGAGGGAGGCGGCCAGGCTGAAGCAGCTGCGACTTCCCTGGTCCCAGTGTCACACGGACGCTGCTCTGGATGCCCTGGTCTTGGCCACGTGCATCCCCCGCATTGTGGGCCAGCAACAGCCCGGCTCCGAGGCTGAGGCGGAAGAATTCCCATTGAGCTGGAACCCTCTGCCAGGAAGTGACATTCTGCTACCGAAAGGCCTCCCGCCCGCCCTACTGTGCCTGGGCCGGCCGCCACGTGACAGCACAGGACACGTGGCTTCCAGCAGTTTCCGATGTTGTTTTCTTCGTGTCCTGTCGGCATGGGTGGGTGGGGGCGGCGATAATGAGCCGGCGCTCTGGCCTCGCTTAGCAGAGTGTGGTCCCCGCCGCCGGCCGATATGGCACCGGCAGCTGGAAAAACTGACCGTGGGCTTGACTATCTCAGAGGATTGCTCTATTTTTCCTCAGCATAATTTTTCCATGAATAATCTTTAAAGCTCTTTAAGTGGCTGTTTCTTTAACAGTTTTATTGGAATATATGAGAACTGACAGTCTGTGGGGAATGAGATATCATGTTGGAAAAAAAATCTGGTTTTCATTACATTTTTCTTAAGAAAGCACCATGCTGCCCGGGCCACTCACTGGTCGGCAGAGAAGCCAGCACAGGCCTCGAGGCAGCCGGGTCTGGGCTCCCATTGGTGCTGCCACCGCAGGCTGAGTGAACTTGGGCAAGTCACCTGGCACCTCTGAGCTTGAATTCTACGGCTACAGAACGGGAGCAGTATCTGACCTGGCAGACCCGCGGGGAGGAGAGGGCTCATGTCCCTCTCCCTTCCTGCAGCAAATGGTTCCAGACCCGGGAGGGGCAGTAACCACATAACCACGCCCCGGGCGGACACAGGCTTTGGTAGTGATAGACCTGGTACTAACCACACTCACAGTGTAACCATCACGGTATAACGGCGGTGGTAATGGTACTGACCGCCATTCATCGAGCATCCACCAAGTGCCAGGATGTACCGAACGCTTGTTCACAGGCCCTCACTGAGGCCTGGGCATCACCCCGCCTCACAGGGACTGTTGTTAACTCCTCTCTGGGACGTGGGACTGAGGGCGATGTGGGACCTGAGGTCAGAGGGCGAAGGCGCTCCTTGGGGGAGCAGTGGAGCCGGGAGCAGTGCATCTGAGAACCTGGGAAGGCCAGGGCAGACCTGGGGGGTCCGACATCCAGGCTGGCGAAGGTCCCGGCAGAGGCAGCAGCTTGGGCAGAAGGAGCAGCACATGCAAAGACCCCAAAGTGAGAGACGCAGAACCTACTGGAGAAGCTCGGAGAGCCAGCCTGGCTGAGGAGCTGAAGGAGGGAATATGGGGGGGGGGGGGGCTGTGGGACCACACGAGAGGCCAAGAGTTTAATGAGGGGAAGAGGTGGAGGTTGTAGGAGGTCAGTGAGGTGCTCAGACTTGTGCCTTAGAAGGCTCTCTCTGGCTGGAATGTGTGGATATGGCCAAGAACACAGGCTGGGAGGACGGATGTGGCAGAGAGAGGTCTAGGAGATGGGCAGGGGTTGGGTTGGTGGGTGGAGGGGCACTCGGGGTAACCCTCAGTGGAGGCTGGTGCCATTCACCGAGGGAGCGGATGAATTCAGTTTGGGACCGATGTCGGGAGGCCATTGGGGAGATTGTGAAGCTCGGGAGACAGATGGCAGCTGGGGACAGAGGTGTAGGCCGTGTGGCCCAGGAGGGTGCCCAGAAGGGGGCTGCAAGCTCAGTAAGAGGAGGGAGGCCTGGGCAGAATGCAGGGAAAGTGTTTGTCGGATGAGAAGAAGACAAAGGCTGAAAGGACTTGGGCAAAGCCAGGGTCACGAGAACAACTATTTGAGGACAGTATCGCTTTGGGCACATGAGTAAGTGACCTTCTTCCCTTCTAATGCTACAGGAAGGCACGGGGGCCGGCACTCTTCCTGGCAGCTTTGTGCGGGCAGCACCCACCTTTGAGGTCAGGACACACGGCAATGCCCCCTATTCTCTGACTCGGGTCTTTAGAGAGCAAACAGGAGGGGCCTAGTCTGCCGCCTGTGGCCAGCTGGCCAGCGCCACATGCGGACAGGCCTGGATGCCTCAGAATGGTCCCGTTCATCCTGGAAGCTTCTCTCGGGAGAAGAGAGAGGAACGGAGGGAAAGGGCTGCCAACCTTCCCCCGCTTCAGGGGTTGAATCAGACAACGGTGTGGGCTGTAGCTGTGATTCTAGCCCAGCGCTTACAGCGCCTGTCCCTGAGCTCTCACAGAGGGCGGTGACCCTCCTCGTGGCCACAGCCTCCTGCCCCTTGCTCTGGGGTGCCGCGCCCCACATTCACAGCGCCTGCTGTTTGTCACTAAGGAATGGTGTTGGCAGCCTGTAGGTTGCCCATCTCTCCCACCAGACTCCAGCTCTGGAGTCAGGGGCAGTGTCCCAGTGCCCAGCGCAGGGCGGAAGCAAGGCGTGCGTGCTGAATGCTGGTGCGGTGCCCACGGCTGCAGAGGCAGTGGCTGCAGAGGATGCGGGGCTGGGATGGGGATTCCTGTTCCCATGGGTTTCCAGCGGCATGGAGCGGCCCTGCCCAGGCCAGCACTGCCGATGTCAGCAGTCTGACAGCCCTACTGCGGCCTTTGGGGGTGCTTTCCAAGTCCTGCACATCGGACATTAATGGGAGGCAGCTGGGGCAGAGAAACTACTGAACTTGCAGTCCCAGGATTTGGGTTCCAGTCCAGCCTCTGCCCAGGGAGGAGCTGGGAGCTCAGGGTCAGTCTCCTCTCTGGAGAAGGCAGATGACGACTGCTGTGACAGGGGGTTCTCAGGCGCCACCCTGACCGAGATCTGCACAGGATGCACTTCCATCAGGTCTCAGCTTCGCTCCTGCGCCTGCTAGAGCCTTCCCGGTCTGCCGGGGCCCTGTGCACGCAGGACATGGGTCCCTGGGCACAGAGTCTGTTTGTGTTGAAACCTTTCTCTGGCCAGGTTTCATGGTCGAGCCTGGGAGCGGGTCCCTTCTACATTCTCACACATTCTTTGTTTCTTATCCATGCAGCTCTCACGGGTCCCTTCTGTAAGCCAACGTCGCCCCTCAGCTGTGGGGAGGCCCAGATGCCATCTTCTCGGGTGAGAAGGCCCAGACTCCCAGGCACAGGGCAAGGAATGCCTGCTGCGGCGGTGCTGCATGGAGCTGGGCCAGGCAGGGCAGCAGGGTCGGACAGAGCGGGGCCTGAGCCTGGCTCCTCTGCCTGACCTTGGCACGCCAGCCTAGTAGCTGGGAGATGTCCAGGAGAGATCAGATGTGCCCTCACCGAGGGCTCCTCACCCACTCTGAGACTATGAACGGGAGGAGAGAGGAGCATGTGGGAAGGGAGTCCCCACCCTTGGCCCACGGGGTGATCTCTGCGTCCACTCAACCATAGTGAGCGTCTCCACAGACCACGCAGAGAGCTTGAAACCTGTGCCCAGCAGCTGGGAGACCCAGGGAACAGCCAGTGCCTCACTCAGGCCTGCGGACCCAATGGGGCTGCAGCCAGAGGACAGTGTGGCCGCACCAGCTTAGCTGCACTCGCAGATCCGCTGGCACAAGGAAGGTGTGGCCTCCCAGGGACCAAGGTGGCCCCTGTGAGGAACGGGCATGGAGGTGAGAGGATCCAAGCAGTGGAGCTGGAGGTGGCACAGACTTCCTGTCGGCTGCCTCACCTTCCCTCCATCAGGACACATCAGTGCTGAAGCCAAGTGGTAGGCATGCACAGGCTCTGTGCTGGGGCTCTCCCCGCAGGGCCTCACCCTGTGAAGTGAGGCAACGTGAAGTATTCATGTCTATTCTCATTTCACCGAAAAGAAAACTGGGCTCACAGGGATTGAGCCGATTGCCCAGGGTCCCACAGCTAAGGGCCAGAGCCAGTCGGGCCTTTACCCAGCGGGCGGTGAGACAAGGAAGACCACCGGGTGTGCGGGGAGCAGGCCCGAGGCCGGGTGCAGAAGCGGGCGGCGCAGGCCGCGGCTTCCCAGGGGCTGGCTCTGCTGGGAGGGCTCTTCGGAGAAAACCTGCCAGTTGGTTCGGCCACGTGAAGGCGGAGCTCACAGGATCTGGAAATGTCTTCACGGGCTCCAACGCACACACAAACATGGCTTGCCCTCTCTGAGGGTCAGCATTCTTTATGATTTTTGCTCTCCAGGAAAATATTAGTTCATTTATATAAACGAAACAGTGCATACGGGGAAATTGAAAACGTGGCCCTTTTTTCTCCATTTCCTTTCTCACTGTCTGTCTATCTACTTGTCGTGTGGATCTGCCAGCATGGCCACTCCTTGGGGTGCAGAGTAGGGGCAGCTCTGGGGGTCGGGGGGGGGGCTATTGCAGAGATAGAGGGACAGCCTCAGTGGGGACCACTCCGACATTAGCCAAGGCCTCAGAGGGACCCGAGACTAGGGCTGCTCCCAGCACCAGAGTCTGCGTCCCCAGGTCCCTCGTGCCCCTGGCGAGCGAGCTGGTGAGAGGAGCGGGCACAGCCACAGGGAGGGGTCCGGGAGCTCACACGGGCCTCCTTTTGGGTCCTCGATGCCACCCCTGCTCTCTCGAGGCTGCTTCTGCGTGTGTCCCCGCAGGGCAGTTCCAGAGGGCAGGCAGCCTGTGCCTGGTTCCTGGTGCGGGGCCCACAGTGATGCCTGGCCCACAGCAGGCCCGGCCTGGAAGGTTTAAGTGAAGGAACCAATGAACACATCGTGGGGCCTCTCCTTGGCAGGTGTGGGCGCCTGCCTGCTGGAAAGAGATCCAGGGGCGGTAGCTTAACGCCCCTCCTGGGACCCGAGGAGGCGCGTTCCTGCCATTCCTGGGACTGCGAGAGGCACATTCCTGTCCCCGGTCTGGTCAGGCTCCTGCCACGAAGCCCAGTCTCACTGCCAGACCAGGAAGGCCTCTTGGGAGCCGTCCCTCTGGCCCTGCCCCCACGGGGCCCCTGGCTGTCCTAGGGGTGCAGGCACCACCTGTCACCTGAGGCTGGCGGAGGGGTGGGAAGCCAGGATGGAGGAGCCCGAAGCTTTCCAGACACTCCCCTGCCTTCTGGGGATCAATGAAAACCTTCAGCTTCCAGGGCTGCAGCCAGGGGTTTGGAAAATTGGTGGAAAACGCCCGTGAGCTGAGTTCGCTCGCTGCGTGAAAACTGCTGGCATCAGCGCTCCTCCAGGGAGTGCGGAGTCAGCAGTCGGCGGCTCTGGAGCTGCTTCGAGAGCCAGGTGCCCACAGGGCCTGGCGAGGAGCTCAGAGGCCAGGGCTGAAGGGGGGAGGGCAGGCGACCTGTGTGCCACTCTGGTACCCTCCCCTCGGGGCAGTCTGAGGGGAGGCAGCCTGGATAAAGGAGCACAGAGCCGGGAGCGGCAGAGAGCTTGAAGGAGCTGGAAGGAGCTGGAGGGGGTGGGGAGAGGGGCACAGGGCTGGCGGACTCGGTGAGAGGCCAGCTAGTGGATGTTTTGGGCTTTGTAGGCTAGAGGGTCTTGGTCCCATCCGCCAACCAGCTCTGCCACTGGAGTGTGAAAGCAGCCACAGACCAGAGGTCAGTGAAGGGTGTTGCTGCACACCATTACAAACGGGTGCCTATCCCTGGTGTGATGGACCCTGGCCTGGTCCGGCGGGGTGGGTCTGGGGGGCGGGCAGGGAGGGAAGGCTTCCCTAGGCAGCGAGGGCCTGCTAAACCCTGAAGGGAGACTTGGCGCAGAGGCGGAATCACAGCACTGACGATAACATCATCCTAGCAGCAGGTGCTACCCTTGCTGAGTGGGCTCTAAGCGTCAGGCTCAGTGCTCAGGGTTTTACTTTGTGATCTCAGTAAATTCCACAAGAACCCTGTGAGGGATGTATCAGTGTGTCCACTTTACAGATGGAGAAATGGAGCCTCCCGGGTGCTGGGTGCTCTGTCTGACCCCTCAGATGCCAACTCTCTGCGACACTGGAGTTGGTAACACGTTTTCTTCCCCGTGTCCTTCAGCTGGAGGTGCCGGGCGCCACGCCGCTCTTTAACCCAGATGGCGGGGAGTGGCCTGAGCAGGTCAGCAGGCTGGAGGCGCCCTCGCCAGGCAGCAGCTTGCAACAGCCACGCCCTCCCCAAGTACTCAGGTCAGACCACACTGAGGGCCTTCCAGGTATCATTTCCACCCTGACCTCCCCACGATCCTGGGGTGGAGACTTTATTACCCTCATTTACAGGTGAGGAAACCGAGGCCCGGAGGGTGGACCTGCTGATCCAACACTGCAGGGGCCTAGAACCCAGGCTGGTGAGACCCGAGCTCAAACCAGGAGGAGGAAGCACAGTGGGCCCAGACCCCAATCTGGTCCCACCCTGGACAGCAGTGATGTCATCCCCAGGCACGGAGAGCCGCTGGACACTGAGGAACAGAAGCCGCCATGGTGACATGGCGTGTGGGCGGAGTGCTCCACACCGTGTGGGCAGAGTGCTCCACAGGTGTGAGCTTGCGCAGGCGCCACAGCAATCTGCAGGGTGACTGCCAGTGGCGCAGCTGGGGCTGACTTCCTCACTTTGTGTGCCCCAAATACATGGGCAGACTGAGGCTCCAGGGAGGCGAGCCATCTGTGCCGGGGGGCACCAAACACAGCGGCCTCCTGGGCACCCTCCCGGGCACCACAACTCCAGGGCCAGGGCCTTATGGAAGGGCCCTGGTGACCCAGAGAGGATCCCGCTCTCTGCCTGTGCGTGTCTCAGCCTGGGGTTCTGATCTTGACTCTCTTGGGCTTTTAGGTCCCAGGCTCTTGCAGGCAGCCCCGGCCCAGAGGTGGCCCCGGGGTTCCGGGGGACCGCAGCCTCGGCAGGGTAGTGCAGGAGGGCTGTGTGCAGGGGACAGCGGTGTCTGCCAACCAGCAAACACTGCGCCTTTGGCCCCGCGGTCAGGACCCACCTGGCAGCGTATTTGGGCTTTCAGTGGGTCTGCCCCACTGGAAAGGACACATCTACAATACCTGCAAGATCTTCCTTTGAAGAGACAAGTCTTGGAGAGCTGCTTCCGGGTTCAATTCTGAGCGACAGTCTGAAAACAAAGGGTTTTCACAGGATCAGACGGGCTCTGGAGCATCGGAGGGGGGCTGAGCATGTGTGTGTTTGCAACCGGGAGACAGGACGGAGGTTAAGGAGGCTCATAGTCCCGAAACCCAGAAATACTTCGAGGTCTGCTCCAGATCACAGCGAATTCCTTCCGAGCCCCCAGCGAGTTCCCACGACCCAGCAAAGAGTGACCATGGCACAGCAAAGAGTGACCATGGCCCATCCTCTGCGGGCACCATGTGCCCATTCTCCAGACAGCCCTAGGTAGGCATGTCATCCCAGCCTATAGATGAGGAGCGGAAGAGTAGTGAGCTGAGTAGCTCCCTAAATTCAAAGACCAGCAAGTGGTGAGGCAGGGGACCTGGTCCTAAGCCGGGGTTTAACCCTCACATGACACTTCCTCTCAGTTGCCCTCAGAGAGCAGGAGGCAATGGCCACCTTAGGAAGATTGGCAACTCGGTATTATTATTTTTCAAAAGCACCAATTAAGAGCTGCTGGTGAAATGACAGAGCGAAGCCCGCTGCCAGACTCCCTCTCTCCCAACAAGACCAGCACACACTTAGGGAAGCTTAGGAGTAACCAAACTCATCAGATGCTGCTCAACAACGTTAGGGGCATGAACAGAAGCCATAACCGTCAGAAACTCGCAGCCAAGGAAGGAAAAGGAAGTGGTGAAGTCTGGCCAGGAGTTGCAACGCGGCCTGACTCCTGTCCTGCCCCCTGAGACTGCTCGGCGGGCTGAACGGGTCCTTACCTGTCCCTCCTCTAAGTGGCCCCAGGTGCTGGGAGAAACGGGTGGGGTGAGTGGAGGGCCTGGTGGATACGCTGACCTGACAGAAAGGAAGCCTCCATAGGGGGATGAGGGTAGAATTTCACACTTGAGGGGAATCCCTTTCTGGAATGGGATACAGCCTTCCACAGGGTGGAGGAAACCCTGAAACGGAGCGCCCATACCCAAAACAGACAGCTTGCTCCCTTCTTCACAGAACCTGAGCCTGCGTTCCCCAGGCACCAGGAGGGAAAGAGTGAGAACGCCTGGCGCAGGGGAACCAGCCCGCTCACACACAAGTGCAGGGTCAGCTGTCCCTCCCCTATCACAGCCATGGGAAGAGTGAAACGGAGCGTCTCCATGGGAACAAGGTGCAAAGGAATGGCCTGGCCACTGAGCAAACATCCTGTCCCAGAAAGAGGAGAAAGGAAGAGGGCAAGCTGGGCGGCCGGGGCAGCCCCAGGAGAACGAGGAAACCCCGCGTGCTTCCATCAGTAGAACAAGTCATGCAGAACCCGGGCTGGAGAACACAAGGCCTGAAAAATGAGACGGTAACGCACAGGAGGGAGATGAAAAGGGGTCGGAGGCCTAGGAAACCGGCAAGGACTGAATGAAGCCCCAAGTATAGAAGCACGACCGCGACAGCCATTAGGAAGAAGCCAGCGGGTACAGAAGGCAGGCAGCACCCACCCGTGGATGCCTAGAATCCCCGCGAGAGGAAAGCCAGGAGTGACACAGGAGAAGGGTCAGACGTAGACCAAAGAATTCCTCTGAAAGGAGGAAAGAGCACATCTTGTTCCAGGGACATTTGATACCAAACACCCTCCACTCAGAGGCATTCCCCTGGTTGAGTTTTTGAAATTCAGGGAATTTTTCACACACCCCCCCCCCCCCAGGCGGACCAAGCAAGGCACTCAACAAGAGGAAAAAAAATCGGACGGGCTTGGGCTTCTCTACAGCAGCGGACAAGGCAGGACGGCCAGGGAGTGGGGTCCACATGTCCTGGGGGAGATGCAAAGGAGCGCAGCCGCGAAGTCGGAAGCAGACACGCTCACGAAGGAAAGCAGAGCACGCCCAGCACGGGAAAGCCTCCTGACACCACCTCCACACGGGACTGACTGAGAATGAGAAATTCCAGGAATGGAGGCGCTGTGGGGAATCAGCAGGTGGTAAGAACAGAATCTGTTTAAAAACACTGAGCAGCAGCAGGCACTGTGATTCCTGAACATGATGTGTACGTTGTAAACTTAGACGGGGCAGTGATAATAAAATAACCAACAACGAACGGGAAGATGTGAAGCGCAGGGGAGGGGAGGGCAGCACTGATGTTCTCATCTTTCATAGCCCAGCGAGCTGACCCTGCTCACAGTGGGGATCCAGTTAAAACAGAACTGATGGGCTCAATCCCCTTTCTGTTTTCCTGACCCCTTCTGTTAATCTTAGGAGGCTCTGTTGGGAAATAGTATCTCTTGTGGTGGGGAACAAGTTGTTTGAAGAGCAGCAATTCCGTATGTTTTATTTCAGTTCCTTTTCTCTGGTTAAATTAAAATAAAATCAAAGTCAATACTTTTAATTAAAAATAGCAAGTGTAGCATGATTCCATTTGAATAGATTCTCGCCTTGCACCCACTTTCTATGCAGATAAGAATGTCCACAATTATGCTCACTTAATGCTCATGGGAATGTGGGTTATTTTTCTTAAGTGAAATAAAAGAAATGAAAGGCTGAGGAAAACAAAGCACTGGGTGGGCTCCTTTGGCACAATATCCCCAGAGCAGAGGGGGCAGGGTGTGAGAAAGGCAGCCATCAAGGTCTCAGCTGAGCGGCTGCACCCTTTGGGGTGGGAGGCAAGTCTCCAGCTGGGCTGAGGGGTGTGGGCTCCTCAAGGAGAATCACAAGCCCGGAATGTCTCTGCCACTCAGAGCCGGGGACAGGACCTCCCTTCCCTCCTTGCCTGGGAAGGGACCCCTCAATGTCTGGGCCCAGGAGCCAGAAAGCAACTTCCGCCCTGATTGTCGCGGGACAACATCAGAGAGCTCCTGTGAAGTCTGGGCTGACGGGGGTTCAGCATTCGGTGCTGGGATGCTCAGAGTCCTCCGGAAGGGCCGGAGCAATTACTCACAACCTGCGGCTTGCCCAAGGATGATCTCACAGCCAGGAGTATTTATAGGTCCTTTTTCTCCTTACGGGATCTTAGCATGAATGAAAAGCTACTGTCTCTTTAATTGTGCTACTGGCACAGGAATGAAAAATATTACCCCAGAACCTAAGTGGGAATAACTTCACTCCCTGGACTACATTTTAAGCACAGCAAATGCTTTGTAAATAAAATGAGCTCCATTTGTGGCGAATATAGCTTTAATGATAATCTCTGGCTTTCATCTAGTGCTGTTACTGTTATGTAATAGATCAAAATTTCCTATTATATTCTATTTTAACGAGGTATTATATAATAACAATTAAAGATATTACGTCTTGTTCCTAAGATTAAACCAATCATCAGAACCATCTACAGCGTTTTGGAAAAAAACACCCATGTCAGCCCCGCCCCGGCATCTGGATGGGTAGCAGCTTCCCAGGTGACAGACTCACAGCCGGCGGACCAGAGCTGCAGAGCTGGTAGACGTGCAGCTGTAGGAACAGTCACTCCTGAGGTCCTGAGAGTGAACCATGGGAAAGCCGGGGGGAGTGTCTACAGTTTTCAGGGACTTGGATGAACAGTAATCAAGCTGATCCCACACTGGGATACATTAAAAAAAATATATATTGGCTAACAGGACTCAAAGGAGTCATGGTAGACCAGAGTAAGATGAGATTAAAAGAACAGATGTACAGTTGACACAGGGAAAAGGATGGATTACAAGATGGTGAGCCTTGATATATCAGGTCTAATGGAAATGTTCCGAGGCTCCTGGCTGACCTCCAGCTCAAAATGAGCCAAAAGGATGTCCAATCAGAATGGCAGTGATGACACAAAAGTCCTCCCTGTCCCTCTAAATACACAGAAATGCTGGGTCCACTCCCAGGTGCCACAAGTGGAGAAAGAGCCAAAAGCCAGAGCAGTGTGAGTGGAAGATGAGGCCAAAGGGCCCGCCGGGATCTGTGTGGGAGCTGAGTCTACACGGTAGGGATGCATGGGATGGAGATGGGCCTCGGCCGGTGCCAGTCAGTGAGTATCCTGCAGAAAGCTGGGGCGCAGGGAGGTATCTCCTCCAGGAAACAGACTTTTGGCGAACTCCGTTTGCCAGCCTGGAGAGGTGGCTAGAAGGCTGCCCTCCCCCAGCCCTGAGTCACCCGTGAGACCTGGAGCACCACACCTCACAGAGCCGTGGATTCCATGTTCACAGCACCCAGGTGATTTGAGAGAGAGAAGCTGAGAAGGTCACAAAACACCTTCCTGAGAACTAAGGGGCAGACAGCGCCACCATGGGCCTGGGAGCCGGTGGTGTGTGTGTGTTAGAGGTCACATTCTGTGCACCTGCTATGTGCCGGGGCCAGGGAGAGTGTGGGCACTCACTTGTAGTTGTCGTCTTCCACAAACTTCTGGAGCTCTTCGATGTAGCGCACAGACTTCAGGTACTTCTGCACGTGGGGCAGGGTTGTGAGGTGATCTGCAAAAGGTGGAAAAACCAGAGCCTCAGTCTTTCCCCATCACCAGGTCCCGCATGAGAATGTGGCATCGCTGATTTTGGCACTAGATGCTCCTTGGGTATTGGGGCATATATTCAGTCTTTCCAGAGTTACTGATGGTCCCTTGGGCCAGGCTTTACAGCAGTGGTTCACAACCTGTGATTTGCAACCCATAGGTTGAGAACCACTAGCAGCGTCACCTAAGACCACCAGAAAACAGATATTTATATTACGATTCATAACAGCAGCAAAATTACAGTGATGAAGTAGCAACGAAAATAATTTTATGGTTGGGGGTCACCACCCCATGAGGAACTGTATTAAGGGTCACAGCATTAGGAAGGTTGAGAACCATTGATCAAGAGCCTCAGTGTTCTCATTTCTGCAGTGGGATGACACCTGCTTCCCGGGGCTGATGGCAGGGAAGATGCAGGTGCAGGTAGCGGTACTAACTGAACGTTAGCTGAGCGCCAATGAAATGTCGGGGTGTGCTCAGGGCTCCGCACACATCACATCCCCGTGTTTACTGATGAGAAAACCTCAGACTCAGAGACGAGAAAGTGACTTTTCAAGAGGCAGAGCCGAGATCTGAACCCTAGTCTGTCTGATACCAAACCGATCTCTGTAATTGCTCTGCTGGCCAGCGGGACAGTGAGTGTCCATGTATCTGTCAGTGGAAAGGGCCTCAGTGGTGAGGACCGCACTGGGAACCCAGTCTCCTCACTTTCCCTCTGGTCAGAGGACAGCTGGTCTGGAAGTGCTGACAGCTCACCCCAGTCTTTGTTGGGGGGCTTGTGAGCAGGCTGTTTGCTTCAGTGAATCCAACAGGAAGCCCACTCTGGCTTCCCAGGGGGCCTTCCCAAGCGGAAATTGCTGGAGGTTTGTTCACACCCTTTGTTCTGGGCGTCAGTTGATAACATCTTGTTTGCACAGTCTTTGAAGATCAAATACGTGTATAAGTCCAGCTGGTATTGTTCAGTGATTTAGTGTCAACCTGTGAACCAGGAGGTCACGGTTAGATTCCCAGTCAGGACACATGCTCAGATTGTGGGCTCAATCCTCAGTAGGGGGTGTGCAGGAGGCAGCCAATCAATGAATATCATCATTGATGTCTTTCTCTCTCTCTCTCTCTCTCTTTGAAATCAATAAAATATATTTGTTTAAAAATCTAGCACATGTTTTGTGTTCAAGGAAGAGCTTTCGCACTGATAAGGTGCTGGACTCAAATTTCAGTGATGTGACATTTCACAACCCCAACAATCAGTGGTACTAACCATAGCTGCAGGAGACTTGTAAATCTGAGATTATTCTGAGAATATTGTTCATCTGATTGGATCTTTGTTCGTTTTCCATAATGCTGCCTGAGGCAGGATATGCAGAATCAATATAGATTAAATCCAGAAGATAGATCCCTTAAAAAAAATATATAAAAAAGTCAGAAGATAGATCCCTAAAAGTAAAGAAGATATTTAATGATGGTAAGTGTTCACCATAAATCAGACAAAAATAGAACAAAACACACTGCTCTGCTAGAAGATATAAAGGGAAAACTAAGATACTCTTTGGATTTCAAGTCCAATCCTGACTACTAATTTTTCACATAGACCGTTCAACTGTAAATCAAGCATCGAGTGACAACCAAAGTGAATGCTGGCGAGATTTCAGCATTTCTGATTCATACATTCTCCAGCAACAAGGATTTTTTTTTTCTTGTAACCCAACTGGAAAATAACAGGACATAAAGGAGATGAATGAATACTTGTGTTTTTCACCAACCGATGAAGTTTAAGAGGTCTAAGATATTCTATCCAGGAGAACACCATTTGGATGGAATTCAGTTTTTCATTTATTCACTTAGCTGCATGTCTATCTGTACACCCTCCCCCCAAAAATCATAAATTAACTAAGGGATTAAAAAAATCATAAATTAACTAAGGGATAAAACCATCCTTAGTTAAAAAAAAAAAAAAAACAACTAAAAAAAAAAAACTAAGGCTAGACAGAGAATTCTCCTGAGGGTGCTTAATAAAAAATAACATGTGATATAAAAACAGGCCAGTGTTGGGCCTCAGCATGGCCTCGTCATCACCCAGGGGAGATTTGGAACAAGCCACCTGGGCAGAGCTGGGAGAGGAGGACTGGCAGTGCAGTGTGAGGCACGACATAGCCTTCAGCTGACTGGCGGGCCACAGGGCAGGGCTGCAGGCTCTCGGGGGATGTGAGTCCCACTGCTCTACCCGTGATATTTGTGGGGTTGAGTAGGAGTAGCGATGGAAAGTAGAATTCAATGCAGAAAACACTGAACAAGGCAAAGAGGCATCATTGATATTAATAAAAAGCATCGTTGCTTGAGAAGATTTGATTACAAAATTTGATTACAAATTTCTATGCACAAAGTGACATTGCATCAAAATATACAAAGCAAAAAACTATCAGAAATAAACAATGAATTCAATAAAAACATAACCATGCAGGGAGTTTTTGGCATGTCTCTTTCAGAATTTGTGTGTATGCACACAAATATACACATACAGATGTACATATACAGATACATTACACATGTATGTGTGCATATATAAATATTGTATTTGAGTAAAAAAATTAAGTTTGGTGTTATATTAATGAAAATATAATTATTTTCAGATACCCATGGAATGTTTACAAAATTGGATTATATACTAGACTGTAAAGAAAAGTTTAATAGGCTTTAAAAAGTAAACATCATATTATCCACACTCTTTGACTTTATATTACATAAATATAGAAAATAGGTTAAACCATAGGTAAAACAATAAATATAGAAAAAAGGTAAAACAATAAATAGGTAAACAATAAATAAATAGGTAAAACAATAAATATAGAAACAATAAATAGGTAAAACAATAAATATAGAAAAAAGGTTAACCATTCGGGAAACACACACTTGCACACATATACACATTCACAAGCAACTTTCAGGTCAAAGAAAAAACAAATAATCTAAAACAAAAAGTCTATTTAAAGAAAATGATAATAAGAACATCACTTGTCAAAATTTATAAGATCAGACCAAAGAGATAATCAGAGGAAAATTTATAGCCTTAAAAGTTTACTGTTAAATGACTAAGAATTATTACAAATGTAATGAATCAGGTACATAAAAGTTTTGTCTGGATAGATGAGCACTGTACTGAGATACATTCATCGTGTTCGTTATTCTTACAGCAACCCATTTCACAAGGAGGAAAAGGAGAAGCAGAGGGGATGTGCAACTAGCTGCAGGCCACACAGCTGGTAATGCTGGCGATGGGAGTAGAACTCAAGCCTGCCCCTGCAGAGCACACTCCTGCCCCTGCAGAGCACACTCCTGCCCCTGCAGAGCACACGCCTGCCATCGCAGTGGACTGCAGCTGCTGGATACCGTGAGTCAGCCAGTCAGTCATCTGCTTTTCAAATAGCTACACATTGTGACGGGAAACCGTTAAATCACCGAAACAGATGCTGGTACTTCTCATAGGAACCATTTCCGCTTCCTTTCTAGCGGCATCATGTTTCCAAATGTTAATAATTAGAAATAATGTCCCCCGTAGAGAAGCTCCAAGTTCGGTGGGTTGGAATCCACAGATTTATTCTCCCCTTGTTTTCCCTCTTTCCTCTTAACAGGGTGACTCAGGTGCCTCCCCGAGGCCTCAGCAGTGGCGGTCCTGAAAATCTCATTGCTGCTTCAAGCACAGCAGCAAGTCCCCTCTGTCCTGAGCGGGAGGTAGCGGATAAGGGGCGTGAGGCAGCTTCGTTCCACATGAGAACTTGCTGGAGACGTGAGTGGCAGAGTGAACGCTCGCCCAGGAGCAGACACTGAGGAGCAGGACAGGGGGAAGGGAGACTGATGCTTCCCAGGGATTTACCATCCGATGGAAACTTATCCTCCTTCAACCTCCTGTGATCCTCCCATCAGCCCCATGAGGGTTAAAGAGAAAACGAGAGTTTAGAGAAATAAGAAGCCTGCCCGTGCGTCCCAGTGAGCATGCAGGATGTGAGCCCAGGTCTGTTTGGCTCCAGCACCGTTCCCACCCACTTACTGGCCATCAGACATGCAGGGGGAATCGCCTTTCCTCCAAGGGCACCAGCGCGGAAGCCTTGCCCTGCTCCGCCCTGCGAGGATGGGTGCCGGCCCTTCCGCTTCCTCTCAGATCCCTGGCTCTGCAGACAGAGGCCAGGAAGAGCTTGCCTTTGAAGGGACCGGCAAACCTTTCCCGCTGCCCAGCCCCTGCTTGCATCCTGTTGGCACGGGGAGCTCACTACTTAATAAGAGCAAATTCTACTGTTGGAGTGTGCATCACCCACCTCTACAAAATGTGCCGATGCCAGCACCTGTCCACTCCCAGGTCCGGAGAGTGGAGGCCACGGCCAGGACCTGGTGAGGACTGAGGGGCCCACCCAAAGGAGGTGTCCTGGCCCCGGGGGCCCGGAGAGACCTCTATCCACGGCAATGCCTGGAAAGAACCTCCATACAAAGTCTTTCACTCCCATGACAAGAACTTCAAAAGCAGCAAATCTCCCAGTTAAGACTGCACAAATCCAGGGAAATCTTTTCAGTATTATTAGCCCATAACTGGAAATACTTAAAAGCCGAAACCATAATGAAGTCATAAAAATAGCCACCTCCCACTTGTCCTGTGCCAGTGCTGTGCTAAGCCCGGTGCACAGCTCGCACTCACCACAGCTGTAATTCTATACTCATTTGTATCACTCAGGCCTTGAATGTCTGATTCCCCATCCATTAGGGAAATTTCCAAAAGTTTAATAATTAGAAAGAATGTCCTCCAATTAGGAAGGGTGTCTTCCTCCACAAACTCAATCCCTGCGGCTGGAACAGAGCGATGGGAGCTGCTGAGTAAACATTAGCTGAAAACAAGAAAAAGCATGAATGCAGCCACGTTTTACTGAATCCATACAATAACCTTGTGAAGTACCCTCATTACTACCTTCATTTTGTAGCTGAAGAAAGTCACTTAGAGTTCGGTGAAGATAATAATAAAACTGAGCAGATAACTGACTCCTAAATAATACCACTACTATCTGAGAGGCTTTAGTCTTTGCAGAGAGAGAGAAACGGAAGCTGAGAGTCGCTTTGCTTATCGGAGGCCACACAGCTGGGAAGTGACAGAGGCAGGATTCCTACCAGGTCTGTCCGGGCTGCCACACTGTCAGTCCTCTCTTGACTGCAGCCGGTCCTCCGGTGCCTGGCAGCTGGGGAGGCAAGCTGGGCCCAGAGGTTTCCAGCCTAAGGCCCTCCCTGCCTGCTTTCTCCTTTGAGTCAACACTCTCCAAGAAGGCTCATGACTGTGCTGTGGCCACCTCCCCTCCTACATCGTCCACTTCCTCCCGCTGTCTCCCTGGCACCCATCATGGTGTATCTGTCCAGGTCCCACTGTCAGTGGGCCCACCCAGGCCTGGGGGCCCTGCCAGCTCTGCCACGTGATGGGCAGCTGTGGTATGAGTGGGAGAGAGTGGGGCTTGGAACAAGGAGATTTGGAAGCCTGATTCTGCCATGCTGGGTGGCCTCGGGCAAGCCTTTTTACCTCCCAGGGCCTCAGTTTCCTTGACTGGGCCTGGGAATAATGACGGTGGCCGTGGGAGTCTGCTGGCCTGGGGCCTGAACCACTAAGATGCTCAAGAAGCTGAGCGGAGCTAACCTCGAGCCTGGCTCCGTGGCAAGGCCCCATGGGAGGGATGCACCAGCTGCGTTTGCCATAACCAAGGATGGCGCCCAGATGCGGAGCACGTGGTGGCCACCCACCTCAGACCGGCCACTGCGGGAGTTCCCATCTGGGCTGGGAGGTCTCAGCTCCCTTCCTATTTGTACAGTCACTACAGCAGATGACACTGTGGTGCTGGCCTTGTTAGGATGGACAGTAACTGGACCGGCCCCTGGCCCTGGCTGCCACGGGGCTGAGTGGTGCCAGGGACTGGGGCTGGACTGGGAGGGGCAGATGCGTTGGAGGAAACAACCATCGTAGTAACAGCCACTCGGAGCAGAAGGCGGGCCTTGCTTGTAGCACAGCATCTGGGTTCTCTCACATCCCCATTTCTCAGACCAGGAAGTAAGAGCCTAGAGAGGAAAGGTGACTTGTCCAGGATGACACGGCTCGCAAAGGGGAGAGTCAGGATTTGAATTCAGGCCTGTCTGACTCCAAAGATTTGGGGGAGAAAGAGCAATGCTGAGCGCTGGGGGCTGGGAGTCACTGGCTGGCACAGAAACAAGGTCCCAGCCACAGAGGCGGGGCGTGAGGACCCCTGCCGTGGCCTGCTTTCCCCAGGGACGCCGCTGGCAGCCTGCTTCTGCCCGTGCTGCCGCCTGCAGACGGGGCCTCCTTCTTCTCTGCTCCCTCCTTCCACGTCCTCCCAGGCTGGTGTCACTGCTGTGGCTGCA